ACATGGGGAATGGCAACAACTTTGATAATGGTTATTTCTACTCCATTGGTGTTTTTGGCCAGTGGATATCCAGGCTTAAAGGGGATTTTAGTGTATAGAGCTGTTCCACTAAAGGGTCTTGTAGTGAGTATTGCAAATTCACTGTCATTTCGAAATATAGTATACCCACTTATGGCATAGCTGGCATTGCTATCTAAATGGTACAGTCTTGTTTCTGAGAATATATTGATATCCATATTTGAATAGTTTAGGTCACTACGTATGTCTTCAATATGTTTATGCAGAGATCTTGAATTAAGGAAGCAAATTTTAAAAGTATTTGGGTCTAATTCATAGATCAGAGTATTAGGAAGTTTGGTATGGTGACCTGTGCGTAACTGCTGCATGTGAACTTTAACATCATGATTAACAGCTATTTTACTTTCAGAAAGGTCAGTTATGTAAAGTCCATCAACTGTTGTTACTCTGCTGAGTCCTACACAATGCACATGAGGTATTGCTCTTTTGGTGTTAAAGTTAACAGCTATTCTAGTTTCTGTGTCACCCTGTGATCTATGTATGGTTTTGGCTGCTGCAGGTCTTAATGGAAACTGCTTTCTTACAACTTGAGCTGTTCTGTTTCTTCCTACTGCAAATTGTGCAATGATAGGTTTGATAGGAGTCCATGTAGCTTCAATTCCTTGCAAATACAATTGCTTGTTATCATATCTAGTTTTTTCTCCAACATCAACATGGTCAAACTGTACCCAAATTATACCAGATGGTCTACTTTTGTCATATAATGTAATCTTTTTGATAATATTACTTGCCCCTTTTGTGATACCATCATCAGTTCTTACATTTAATGCTATCTCTGTTCTCTCACCCTCAGCAAGTTGAAGGTTTGAGGCTAACTGCTTGGTTTTTCTAGGATCTAGGGGTATTTGGTTTAATATCTTACTTCTGAGTTCTGGAGAGTTTGCACCTATAACACTGTCTAAAGCTCTAATGGTGTATTTATCACCAGTAGCTGTCAATTATGGACTCTATTGTTCCACTCATCTACTTTAGAATTCTGTATAAAAAAATGGGGAATATCAGTTGGGTAGTCTCTACAATTTTCTGAAATGCATCTCTCTTTAAGTTTGGCAATGTCATCTGTAGTGTGATTACCTTCTCTTAATCTGTTAAGAATTTCAACGAATTGTTTACTTTCTCTCTGCCTCATGATTTCTTGTAATTCAAACATGGTAAAAAGTTCTTTCCAGAGGTTGGGAGCAAGAGCTCCATAATCTGAGTCCTTCATGTCTTTAAATACATATCTATCCATAACTGGTTCTAGCTGGAATAAATCACCCAGTGCAATAACACTAACACCCCCAAATGCCTCTTTGCTGCCTTTAATATCTTTTAATCTATTGTTTATTTGTACATTAAACATGGTATTTCCTACCATAGATATCTCATCTAGAAATATTAGTTTAAGTGCATGAAGTTTGCATCTCAAAGTGTTAAGTCTACTAGAGTCTAGTGGTTTGTCATTCTTAAGTGATTGGCATGCTGGTATTTGCAAGGTACTATGTATTGTGTTACCTCTGATAGAAATTGACTTGACTTCTTGGAAATCTTCTCCATGTCTGGAGTTATAATATTTTAATGCTGCCTGATATAATGCTTTGACAAGATGGGAATTACCCACTCCAGCTCCTCCAGAGAGAAAATAGTAAAATGGTTTGTCTGATGTTTTAACAAGATGCAAGACATGATAAAAAAAACTCTTTTTGCTTTTTATTTAGTGTTTGTACTAATTGTCTATAATCATTGTCTAGCAGCTCATTTAATATTAGTGGTTCAGTACTTGTTGTCACAGAAGGAATTCCAACATCTTCTGATAGGTCATAGTTCTCATTGAAGTCAGGATGTAGGTCATGAACACCTTCATACTCATCTTGGTATTCTATATTTTGAGTAAATGGTGCTATTGAATCAAACTGATCATCACTCAGAATATTATCATTTATGTGCTCCTGAATTTTATCAATTTCATCGCTGTAAACAGCATATTGTTTCATTTGGTCATTTATGGCATCTTTCATAAGTAAAAATCGGGCCTTATAAGAAGAACAATTGGATATTAAGTCAGTTTCCTCATTTCTTCATGATGTGAGGAGCATAATTAACGGTAGTATTTCTCTGGGTCTTTTTCTTTGTTAAACCAAACACTTCTAATAATTCTAGCTGATGATCTTTTTCTATTTGTTTCCTTATTGCTCCTACTTTCATCAGGAAGGGTATCATCATTTTCATCAATGCCTGTTTCTAAAGGAAGTTTATCTGTGTCATTTTGAAAAGATTTCTTTACATAAGGCTTTTGAGACAAGTCATACCATGCTACCCAATCTGCTAATGTTAGGTGTTCAAGGCTGAAGGATGTTTTACATATCTCTGCAACAGACCAGTTGTATACACTTCTTCACAATCATCTTCCATTTCTTTCATTTCATTAAGTTGCTTGAGGAGCTGCACTCTTTCATCGGGAGGTGCAGTATTTATGAATACCACTCGTTGTGATGACTTCTTCATAGGGAGCTGGAGAACAATGTAGACAGCTTCTTGTGCACTAATTTCAACACTATTTAAAAATTTGTTTCCAATATCCCTGACTTGTTGCTTGATGTTAGAATTTTCTTTCCTCACTTCTGCACATGCTTGTCACAAAAGTTTACTCATTCCTTTTAGTGCTTTAGAAATATATGATACTATATACATAGCACACGCATAGATGTCAAGAACAAATTGAATATCCATGTTTGCTCTCCATGCTTTAAGGCAAGTTGGGTTGTAACTATTAATTCTTAACTCACTTGGTTCTCTTTTTAAAAATATAGTTGGAGAATTCAAAGCTGTCCTGATAGCTAATCGATAGTTATTTTCAGTAATACTTAGTTTAAGAAGCAGCTCCTCAAAAGTAATTGATTCACCATCCTTTAAATCATTTAGTTGCTTTTTAATAGTTTTCCAAGTTTCTTTATGTTTTTTAATTTCGTGTTGTGATATATCTGAACCTAAAGGATACATGATTTCAGTTGCTCTCATAGGAGGTTGCGGGTAATTAAATTGACATTCACTCTTTGACTTCTTTCGACATGTGTGAGAATGCCTGTGAATTTGTCTGTTCACTAGTTTCTGCAGTTGTGGGTCATCAATTGGCCATTTACAACTTACAATCTGATCAATGAACGTTGTAACAGTTGCATCATCATCAATTCCAAACACTGGTGCACTTTCTAACCATATAAGCATATGGATATGAGGTGAACCTCGTTGTTGAAATTCTACTCTATAGAACCAGTCAGATATCCTTCCTAGAGGTTGGCACTTATTCAAGAGGAAGTTAGTGAGAAATTGACTGATCTGATAATCAAAATGTCTGGCACATGATACTGGGTCACTTTGAATTAACCTACATTTTTCATCCCAGTTCATATTTTCCAGATGAGTATCAGTGTACTGTTTGTGGTCAACCAACTCTCCAAGTATTCTGAGCAAATGAATCCACTGAGTTTCTGCTGAAGAGAAACTACAAAATAACAAGGCTGGTCCTAATTGTCTTATCATGGCAAACAAGTCTTTCTTTGCTTTTTCAAAATATGGTGGGGAACCTCTTAATGCTCTAAGAAACTGAAATCCATCATCATGATGAATCAATTTCTCTAATGCTCCTTCTTGTTTAAGTTGTGCTGCATTTAAAGTTCTGCTATTCCCTTTGCACTTTCTAAGAGCAACTTGGGAATTTCCTAATAGTATTTTCATTTGCAGTTTCTTTGTTTTAAAGAATATGTTTTCAACACACATAGCCGCTCTTCTATCTGACTGCCTCAATTCAGATTTACAAATGTCACTGTAATGCACGCTAACCAATCTCTCTTTATTTTCTGAAGCCTTTCACTCGTTCACATTGAACCGTGCTTCGAAAACTGTGGCATAATGAGAAACAAACTTTGAGGAAATTCATTATAAAGACTCCACAAAAGACCGCTTCACTTACCTACTTCACCATCCACGCGTGGGTTTGACTACGCACAACGTCGAAAGAAAACATTACCTTTTCATTGACTTGTTGTTTTCTTCGCGTTTCCAAATTCCATTGGTCTCGACTATTCCTCGCTCTGTTTTTTTCTTGAATGGGATTCGTCGTAGTTTTTTCGTTTCCGACTCCCCGCGATTATAAATCGATTTGTTTACACATTTTTTGGTTAACATTTTCTTTCCCCTTTCATGTCGACCATCACAAAATGTATACTTTAATGTGGCCTTACTAGTATGACCTCGTAATTTGTGGTATATGAAGTATTTTTCGAAATTTTTTGCACTCTTCCATATGTGTCTTCGTGCTAAAGCACTAGACACCAATAAATCTGAAGGAATCGAGTCGCGTGTCTACGTTTTCATTCAAACAAGTTGTGATTGCAGAGCTTTCCTACCAGAATCGAGATTCCATTGGTTAAGAAATTAAGACAACTGAAAGTTTAATATAAATCAGTCAATCAAAAACTTGGTTGGCAACGCTTCAATGTGTTTTCATCATGAATGTTGTCAGTTTAAACTTCTAGTATATCATGATGGTTGAACAATTGCCCTCATTAATCTGCTCCTGCTCATTTCAGTTTGTTTAATCTTTTAAAGCAATCACAGATCAGCCATTGATTGACTAGAATCAAAAGTCAAGAGAGTTGCATTAGACTAAATCACTGTCTCCAAAAGTGCTCAGGAATGCGTTAATTATTGATTTAAAAAACCTCCCGTCGGCATTTTCTTGAGGTAAATCGGCTATAAATGTCCAATAAGAAGACATTTTAGCCAAAATGTCTCAAAGAAGTTTCACCGACAAATCAGCCTTCCTTTTTCCCTCCAACCTTGAGAAGGAACTAAACTTAGAACCTGAGCTCATGTTCTATTTTAACCTAGCCCTATCCGAGCTCTTATTTAAAAAATAATTAATAAATTCTGTCGCTATGGATACATCGGCGTATTTGTGACATTCGTAGACGTTCTTCAGCTCTGCCCTCATGGTGACTAAAATTTTAACCAGGAAAATACCGAGCAGTTGCAAGCGAGTTTCGATCGAAAAAACTTGAGTTTCATCCGCGATTAGCGTCGTGCAAGAGAAATCATTTGCGTACGATTTCAATCTGCGATAATGGCGTCCGATGCGAAACGCTAGAGATACAGCGTAGCTAAGGCCTTAGAGGTGATTTTTGACGATGGAAGTGAGCATGGTGGTATCTCTAGTGATGAGGAATCCGAATTAGATAGAAAACTGGAAAATTTTAGCGAAGAATCGTGGTAAGTAATCTGTAAACATTCTTACGATATTTAAATGCGTGACGCATGTAGTGTTGAAACATTTACTTTTACTTTTCGCGCACGAATCCTTGTTTTTTGCCATGAGACAAACCTGTAAATGTGTATTCGTGAATGAAAAGCAACATATATTATGATCAAACATGATTTTTAAGCGACAGAGAAAATAATCTTCAATGGAATGTTAGAACGCAACGACCTAAATTATCAGCCGATGACAGATCGAATGACGCAGTGTGCGTCCGAACTAAATCAAATAAAATCTTTTATTTTTAAAACGATAGTTGAATATATATCGACCTGTACATTATCTTATATGTTTTGTATGTTTTTTAGATGTGGTTCTACTAGTTACATGCCGAAAACTCACAAACAGACAAATTATGCTCAAGAATGAGTGGAATGATATAAAATGACACTGAGTTTCCGGTTTCACTTCTGAATTGTTTACTCTCGAAAAATACTGGTGGTGCATTGCAAGTGAAAGGCTCTTGATATATGTGGCGCTTTATGTATTTTGAGGTTGATTATCTCATTTGTCCCTGTTTCAAGGCAAAATTTCAGAAGTCAAACAAAGAAATATAGTTCCAATAATTACACTGTAGACTTCAAGAGGGATTAGTAAATTTGGGCTTGAGGTGATGATAAGGTCAGACTAATTAGTCAGTATGTCAATCTTCAAACAAAGAAATATAGTTCCTATGGTTGCACTGTAGACTTCAAGAGGGATTAGTAAATTTGGGCTTGGGGTGATGATGAGGTCAGACTTATTAGTCAGTATGTCAATCAGTGTTCACTAAATACGTGTAACACATCTCAGATTTGTTATTTTCCAACCAATTTTTATGGAGATGTTGCCCATATAACAAGGAACCTCTTAAAATAATTTTTGCCTCATTACTTTATATTATTTGGGTATCATTTAATTCACAGTTCAAATTTTGATCATATTTTATGCCAATGTTATGTTAGTTTGAAAGCACTCAATGAGGTTGTTTCCTTTTTTTGGAGAGGAAACATGCATTTCAGGAAAGCTTATTTACTGCTGTTTCAAGTGAGGTATAGCTTACTTCCCTTGTTAAATACTTGGTGAGGAATAAATTTTTCAATAATCTGGGTCAATTTTTATGGTTTGGGGGTACAGTTTGGAAAAAAATCCTAATTAATTCTGTATTTGTTCTTTTTCAGCCAGAGTCTCTGGATGTCTTGCCCATAAGATAAGGAATATTTTATCTTGGAAATGTTTCCTTGTAACTCCAATCCATTCAGGCCCAGGCTGTTTCAAAGTCAAAAGTTGTACGATAACTTCTGCAAATGGTATGCCATTTTCTTAGCATGATTTAAAATCCATGGATTTTTGGAGGCAAAATATATTTTTTCTGAAAAGCTAATTTTGTCCTCTTTCAAATGAGCTATAGCACTAATCACTACTGTGAATACTGTTAACAAAAAAATAGAAGAAAAAAGGTTACTATCATTTGTCATTTTTTTAAAGTCTACTCTAAAGAGTTAGGATAACGGATAAAAGGAGTTAAGAAGAATGGCACAAGGAGGAGAAGAAAAAGAAGACGAAAAAGAGAGGCTTTCTATAAAATTTATAGAGCACCTATCACAAAGGCATAAAGATGAAGAAGATGAAGGAGATGAAGATTGTATGAATTTGAGACCAAGCCATCACTGGAATTTTATAAAAGCCGTAAATGTGAGTGAAAAATTACAATATTATCTGTCTACAAAATTAAGTTATTGATGATTTATTGCTATCAGGGTTATAAAGAAATCTTATTCGATGGTCTAGCATGTAAAACGCGCGAATATTTTACGAATTGCGGGGTATTTTTCCGAAGTCCGAAGGGACGAGAAATGACACGAGCAATTAGGAAAATTCCAATTTGTCCGCTGGTAGTATATGTCAAAACATCGAATAAGGGATTTACTCTTCCACTATTATTTCACTTTAAATGATCGGCACGATAAATTTTCACAAATTGTGAATATTTTGAGAGATTCCACCTAAGCAAATTGGAGAAAAATCAAACTGCAAAGCCAAATTATCACCGGCGAGCGCCTCCCATCGCGGAGCCTTCGCTCAATGACAAAAATCATTTTGATAGTATTTACTACAGCAAACGATAGTCCAAACCATGCTCATTGCCTTTTGATGGCTTTTAGTGACCTTAAAAAGGGGAAACATAAACATTTTCTAAAAAAACAACGCTGGCGTGTGCGCCAACATTAGGCAAAAACCCAATGGAGCCTCCTTATTATTTGCGGTGCACGTGGTCAAGAAGAAAAACGAGAAAAATTGTCTTATGAAAAGAACTAATTTATGAACGTAAGTTCATTTGGCAACTTCCCTGAGAAGTAATTTACCAGAAAAGGTCGTACAAGCAATGTTTACTTAACAATGTCTACTAAGAATAAGATAAAAAAAAAAGTGAACAGCAAAAGAAATTTTTCCTGCTAAAAGCTCGTCTCTTTAAAATTAAAATCTAGCTTAATCAAAGTGCTCCGTGAGCAAACTCGTGAATTGACAGATGACTTGCATGATTTTTTGGATTATGTTTAATGTTATCTGGTTTCGGGAATTTTGTGGTTGATTGTCATATTTAGAGTATGAGCAGTAGTTCAGTGTTCGCTAATGTGGCAAAGAAACAAAGTAACGTTGGAATAAGAAGGCATTACAATTGAAATGATCATGCTATTACATTTGACAAGGGTGGATGATGTCATGTGTTTTAAACGTATATCATTTTTGTTTCTGGTTCAAAAGAAAAGGTTGGAAGTAAATGTGGGTGAAAAGTGAAATGTACCGTTTATCATAGTAAATATTGGAGAATCAAGGCAACACTGTCTTAATGAAAATATTCATGATTCCCTCTTTATCGAATCAGTCAAACGGGAACGAGTTTTGAGTGATATAACTAAACCCAGACTTCCACCGTCATTTTGGATTTCCGCCTGGGTAGATTTCGGTCACGTGCTAGGCAACGCATAATCAAAACAAGATAGAATTTCATTTCATTGAAAATGAAAATTCACTGAAAATCGGTAGCCAAAATGATTTGTTTAGGTGTTATTTGAGTTTCGTGTTAACCTGTAATTTCGTCAGTCGCCGACACCTTTTGTTGCTTCACACAGAAAAAACACACGACACGAAATGTAATGATCGATTTTGTTCCGAACCTCACGCCATAACAGAAAAAGCTTTTGAACACCTATAAACTCCGAGCGCTTCGGAGTAAGTGATATTTTTAATGAATCTTCGGATCACTTTCAAGATCAAGGATTGTAAATTACAATTTTATGAAAAACGAAGGTTGTTCTCTTATTTTAGTGTGAATCCTCGCACGCCTGCCAGTCGCTGGCGCCGCTTTTTGAAACTAAAACGAAAAAAAAAAACTCTTTTAAGATTATCATTGGCTTCTTTGTCACCCCACCACTATTCTTAGCAACAAAGGTCGCCATTTCGTTTGTTTATTACACGCCAAAAACTATCAAATGCACTCAAAAGCCTAAAATCGAAAAAAATTTTACAGGAATCGACCAATCGAGCGAGTGCCTTTCTCCAAATCATATCTACAACTCGCTCTTGCGCATGCGCGCAATTCACGAGTTATAAACGAAAAAAACATCATAGTTTGGATCGCTTTCCAAATGGAAATATTGTCTTCCTCCATTTCAAATATGTTTTGATTTGCTCACTCGTAGTTTAAAACGGACCGTAGAAAAATACAGGATGTTCAGTCCTCGTTCACATCAGCGAAGAATCCAACTCTTAAAAACACGCCCAACAATAGATCCAGCCGCAAAGCTAAAAGTGTTTCCTGTGTTGATGGGACAACAGTCCATCATTGTATAAATATTTACTTGAAGAAGAGGTCCTGCAAGGGCACTGAGCTTAAGCCCGACGTGGAAAAGCAAATAAAAGAATTGGTGGAACCTATAGAAAAAAGTTTTGGATTTAAATTCATAGACTCTGAACTTAGGATTCGAGGATATGCAAGCCGGCAACAAACGCAAGCAATTTGTTGGAATGGCATAATCGATGTCATTGGTGTGATGAAGGATGGAACAATCATCGTTATCGATTGGAAACTAACTAGTGACGTACTTAATAATGTATGGAATCATGCAAATGGATTCTCACCGAAACTTCACCAATTGATGATTTACCGGGAGCTAATCATAGCCGCCGCAGGGGATTTTTATAAAGAAAAGGCTGTTCCAGTGGTAGGCATCTTGCTTGCGCCTATCTCATCCATATCCATCACAGCCGGTGAATCACGTTTATGTCTCTGTTTTAAAAAGCTCCAAAGTGCTGGGTTTTTTGAAAAAATAAAGGAATATACCTGGACAGCACAGAAACCCAGAAGAAGAGATGAACATAAGGTAAGGTCGAACGCTTTTTGGATTGTCAAACCGCGAACGTCTGAGCAGTTGCAATGTGTTTTTGCAAGATAGATGATATATGTTTATTTTTACTGCATGTTAAGCGCTTTGCAAACTCGTGGGATTTGACAGCAGCTTTGCTTCAGCAGTATAAAAAAGCAGATATCTTTGATGCTCTCAGGACCGTAGACATGTTCATAATCATTTCATTAAAACTCGTATGTTTTCTTCTCAGCGTTTCCTGTGTTGGTAAGATTGAATTGGACTGATTTACAAGCGGCAGTTTTAGCCTGGATTTTGTGGAATTTCGATAGAGCCAAAAAAGGAAGGCATTGAGCCGTGTTTTTTTTGTTCTTATGTTCGTTGAATAATTTTGTCTCCAGGCCAAAGCTGTGGATTCGGGAGACATCTTTATCCAGGGACAGAAACAGGTTGAAGGCATGACTGAAGATCAATTGAGAGACTCTACAAAACATCTGTTGTCTTCATTGGGTGTAAGTCAGTTACAGACTCTATGCATGTTAATTTAAACCTGGTGTTAATTTGATTTGCACGTGTTAAACCTATCATAGATTCAGTATATGTCTTATATGTCAAGCTTTTTAAAAGGACTTTAACCTTGTGGCGTTTTACTTCCTGTCTTGATGAAGGATTTTCTTAATTTCTACTAATAAATAGGCTCTTGGCTGACCATATAATGCCTCGCCCAATAACGACATCAAATTACAAACTGCGATCCCATTACTCTCCGCGCGTCTCGCACCCACCTCCAGTCCTCTAATACATACCCGCTGAATATTTATTTATGCTAATTACGATTATCACAAATTACATTTTTCCCAAGACATCCAAAATTGAAAAAAGACTGAACCGTGGAACAAACTTAAAAATAATCTATCCTAGAGACCAAACAAGTCATGGCTCTAGCCGTTGAGAAAAATCCTTAAAAATGTTGATTATCCTGGCAGTGCTACTTTTATAAAAAGACCAAACATTATCCCCATTTTTACAAATTAGACCAAAACTTATGCTAACACAATCTATAAGGGCCTAATCATGAATGCCTTTTTATCAGCATGCCGGTAGAATTTTTTTCACTTTCAAGATGTCTGTTTCTGGATTACATTCTAGTTGTATGAATTCCTCGCCTCCTTGGAAACGTACAACTTATGATCAAAGTGCTCTGTGAGCAAACTCGTGAATTGACACATGATTTTTTGGATTATGTTTAATGTTATCTGATTTCGGGAATTTGTGGTTGATTGTCATATATAGAGTACGAGCAGTAGTTCAGTGTTCGCTAATGTAGCAAAGAAACAAAGTAACGTTGGGATAAGAAGGTATTACAAATGAAATGATCATGCTATTGCATTTGACAAGGGTGGATGATGTCAAGTGTTTTAAACGTATATCATTTCTGTTTCTGGTTCAAAAGAAAAGGTTGGAAGTAAATGTGCGTGAAAAGTGAAATTTACTGTCTATCATTGTAAATATTAGAAAATCAAGGCAACGCTGTCTTAATGAAAACATTAACGATTCCCTCTTTATTATATACTCAACAAAATATCGCGTTTCTGATTGGTCAATGATGAATGCATAAATAGGTTATAGAGTGCAATAGAGGTTATAGAGTGCAATACGGAGAAATTGCCATAGAAACACCGGGGAAGCGCCAAATTTGAACACCAAATTATAAAAAATCGAGAATATAATAAATAAAAAATCGAGAATATAATAAATAAAAAATCGTATGAACCTGCTCGTGCATTTCGTGATTTATGGTCATTCGTGATGTTTTGAAAGTTCTCAAATTGCACTCGCCTACGGCTCGTGCAATTTTGAGAACTTTCAAAACATCACTCGTGCCCATAAATCACGAAATGCACTCGCGTTCATACGATTTCCTATACTTATCAAATGAGACAAACGGGAACGAGTTTTGAGTGATATAACTAAGCCAAGACTGCCACCGTCATTTTGGATTTCCGCCTGGGTAGACTTTAGTCACGTACTAGGCAACGTAATGAATCAATAACAAGATAGAATTTCATTTCAGGTCTATTTATCAATTTTGTGGTTTATAACTTTTGCATTTTAGTACGTAATATGTATTTTGAATCTTCAAATTGTCTTGAAACTTAAAAGAAAATTGTTCTTTAAAAATTCACTGAAAATCGGTAGCTAAAATTGTTTGTTTAGGTGTTATTTGATTTTCGTGTTAACTTGTAATTTCGTTAGTCGCCGGCATCTTTTGTTGCTTCACACAGGAAAAACAAACGATACGAAGCGTAATGACCCATTTTGTCCTCAATCTCACGCCGTAGCAGAAAAAGCTTTTGAACATCTGTAAACTCCGAGCGCTTCGCAGTAAGTGATATTTTCAATGAATCTTCGGATTGTTTTCAAGTTCAAGGATTGTAAATTACATTGTTATGAAAAACGAAGGTTCTGTTATTTCAGTGTGAATCCTTGCATGCCTGCCAGTCGCTGGCGCCGCTTGTTGAAACTAAAACGAAAAAAAAACTATTTTAAGATTATCATTGGCTTCTTTGTCACCCCACCACTATTCTTAGCAACAAAGGCCAACATTTCGTTTGTTTATTACTCGCCAAAAACTATCAAATGCACTCAAAAGCCTAAAATCGAAAAAAAAGTGTACAGGAATTGACCAATCGAGCGAGCGAGCGTGCGAGCGAGTGCCATTCCCCATATCGTATCTACAACTCGCTCTTGTGCATGCGCGCAATTCACGAGTTAAAATCAGCATTAGAATGACGCGTCTTTGACATCCGGTGGAGCTTCCCTGTTTACGACGCTGATTATCTATAGCTCACTTTTTGACGTTGTTCGGTTCTAATGTTATAAACCAATCGCCTCCGACTCGCGATTTACAAACTTTTCTTTTGTTCTTCCAATATTACGCCGCTAAACCAAACCTCAATTTTTCACGGGTTTACCGGTGCAATAAACGATACATTTATAACCAACCAGGCCAGACAGATCTCAGTTATAATGTAATTGCTCATGACCACGAGTTCGGTGACCCCGATCTTTATGAATCATTTTTCGAAGTGCCTGGCGGTCTCACAAGTATTGAGAAGGACGCAAATTATGCCTCTGGTAAATTAGATTTTTGGAGTTTTTTTCCTTAAGTCTGGTGATATCGTCTCTACTATCAGAGGGAGGGGACGAGAGCATGAAAAAAAAGCTTCCTGACTGAAATTCTCATTTGTCCTAGACTTATTGGCCATCACTCTGCGATAAGGACCGACAGGGGCTGTCTAACATCTTGAAATCTTGGAAAACTTCTATGGATAGCAAGGATGCTTCCGTGGCAAAGGATGACTCAACTAAGCCGCAATCAGTGTAAGGAAGGTTTTATGTCTTACATATGGCGACGTTTTGCTTTGTATAACCTTGATATATTGTCATTATTGATTAACTTAGGAAAGATTTATTGGCCGATAGTAGGTCAGTTTTTTCAATTATAGACAAAATTAGGGACCTGTCATTATTTACCGTATGAGGGTAGAGGAGGGATATATATCTTGTCTCGATAACATTGACCTGATCCTCCTCTGTGATACTCTTTTCATCCCTTTCCATCGGCAGTTCATTGATAGTCAATTTTCTATAGACCCCTACCCCACCCCTCATCTATACTCTGTTGGCGACGACTGGTTTCCTTTCTGTCCCCCTGAAAACAACCAATGTGATCGCCCTTAACCCCCCCCTTCGTTTCCCACCACAGGCAATAAACAATGACTCTTGTCCTCCAGTAACAATTCTTGTAAAAAGGCCAGGGAAGGGGTCCCTCATACATGGTGGAGAGTACAAGTTAGGTGGACTGTTTGAGTTAGCTTTTGCTCACTAAGGTTACAAAGTGTCCAGTATCTTGAATATTTCTCTTGTTGATTTATGTGAAAAATGTGTCTCAAAATTAATGAGGTCAAATGGGAAGAAAGAAAAAAATCACACCTGATATCAAGTAAGCTTCCTTAGCAAAGAATCACTTGTTTCAACTGCAATCAATGTAAAAAAGGTTTCATGTCTTACTCATAGAGTTATTTTGCTTAGTATTATCTTTATATATTGTCATTATTGATTTACCAACGAAAGATTTATGGGCCGATAGTAGGTCAAAACTTTTTATATACGGACCTGACATTATTTACCGTCTAAGGGAGGGGGAGAGGAAGGGGAAAGTGTGAAGATATATTTCGTGTCACGATAAAATTGACCCTCCTCTGTGATATTCTTATGATTCCTTTCCACTAACAGTTAATTGATAGTCAATTCTCCATAGACCCCTACCCCACCCCCCGTTTATACTCTGTTGGCGACGACTGATCCCCCTTCTGTCCCCACCTCAAAACCATGCGATCGACCTTAATTCTTCTAGTAACAACTCTTTTAAAAAGGCCAGAGGAGGGCTCCCTCATACCTGGTGGAACTTACGAGGTAGATGGACTGTTTGAGTTGGCCTGTACTCGCTTAGGTTACAAAGTGTCCAATATCTTAAGCTTGAATATTTCTCTTGTTAATATATGTGAAAATTAAAATGTGGATCAAAATTATTTTAACTATGGTATTAATACGAACCTGAACTGTTCCGGACAGGCCAAAGACTCCTTCGATCATTAAAGAAGAATCTACAGTCAAAAAGGTGAGAGTAGAAGTTGTAAATATAAGCGACAATTTATAGCACTGTTTCGTTATGAAAAAAACTTTAAAAAATATAGATTATCCTTGCAGTGCTACTTTTACAAAACGACCAAACATTATGCTCGTTTTTACAAATTATACTAAAAATTATGCTAGCACAACCTTTAAGGGCCTACTCATGAATGCCTTTTTATCAGGTTTTGGGGAGGAATTAGATCTGTTGAGTTTTTCCTCCTTAAGTCTGGTGATATCGTCTATACTATCAGGGGAAAGAAGGAGAATATAGAGGAACTGGTGCCCGACCAAAGGTCCGTCAGAAATCATTCAACGAAAAGGACAAACAGGGAAAAAAGGAAAAAGGCACACTTAATAGCAAGAGAGAAAGCACATCTAATGACAAGTAAGCTTCCTTAGCAAAGAATGAATTGCCTCAGCTGCAATCAGTGTAAGAAAAGGCTTCATGTCTTACTCATGTCGACATTTTGCTCTAATACCCAATTAATATTTTGTCACTATTGATTTACCAACGAAAGATTTATGGGCCGATAGTAGTTCAATTCTTTCAATTATTGACACAAGTTGGGACCTGTTAATCGTCTGAAGGGGGAGGGTAAGTCTGAAGATATATATCGTGTCACGATAAAAATGAACTGATCCCTGCCTGTGATATTCCTATGATTCCTTTCCATTGGCTGACGTCATGACGGCAATTAATTAAGAGTCAATTTTCTATAGACCCTTACCCTACCCCACCCCCTGTTTATACTCTGTCGGCGACGACTGATCCTCTTTCTGTCCCACCTCAAAAACATGTGATCGACTTTAACACCCCCCTCCGCCCCCCCCCCCCACCTTTTTCCCCCCACAGGCGATAAGTAATGACTTGTCCTCTAGTAACAATTCTTATAAAAAGGCCATGGGAGGAGTCCCTCATACATGGTGGAACATACAAGTAGGTGGACTGTTTGAATTGGCTTGTACTTGCTAGGGTTACAAAGTGTCCCATACCTTAAATACTTCTCTCGTTAGTTTTTTTGATGAACGTGTATCAATTAGTTCATACGTTAGTGTGTGTTCATCGAGATATGAAGCACGCGGGAAGTTTGGAGCGAACGAAAGATACGTAAGAGTTGCTCGACTCTAGCTTCTTGAGTGCTCTCCAAACTTCCCAAGTGCTTCATATCTCGATGAACGCACAGCTGACGTATGAACCAATTGTTTTATAACATTTTCAACTCGATGGAAAATTTTTATTCTCGAGAGATTTGTTTGCTGACGTCATGAGCGTGCACAATAGGAATATGAAGCACGCTTGCGCAATTGAATTTGATTACACAAATTTATGCGCTATGTTATCAAATTACTTTAACTATGGTACTAATACGAACCTGAACTGTTACGGATAGGCCAAAGACTGCTCCGATCATTAAAGAAGAATCTAAAGTGGAAGCGGTAAGAGTAGAAGTTGTAAGTAGAGGTGACAATTATAGCACTTTAAAATTACGTTTAAAGAATCTTTGGTTACACAAAATTACATTACTTGCCCTTGTCAATTTTCTGATTGCTTGTCTTTTGCATAATTTTTTTTAAAAGATCCAACAAGGATTTCCATAATTCTTTCCATTCAGTTGATAACAACACGCAAAATTATCATTATTTCGAATCAGAAAAAAAACCGAAATCACTGCCATCTTAACTGGGTTCAGGTCTGAGTAATTTAAACCCATTGTTCATCACTCGTTCAAAGTTGTTTTAAAGGAAACTTACTTTGGTAGAGTGGGTCACTGAAGTTTCTTTTTATTGTTTTCATTATTTGGAGAAGGAAATTAAAATATGGAAAGTTGTTTCTTGGATAGGACTCTTGCATGACACCCGACCTGAATGCTGCTAGGATCAGCAATGACGAAATAGGACGATTAGAATAAGAACGATGGTGAATTTTCGGCTCGGAAATGAAATAGAGGAATGAGGTTCTCAAAGAAAGAAAAAAAAAACCTTTGACACGGCTCATCCTAACAGTACGCAGGACGGCTGTTCTATATGAACGCAATGAGTCTATGGCTCATTGGTAGAGTGTTAGAGCACTGAGCTCACCGGGAAGTTTGAGATTCGATTCCTGATGGGTAACCTGAATGTTTTTTCTCCGAGTCCAGGACTCGTGAAGAAAAAAACATCTCTTTTTTCATCCCCGCGGAGTTTAAAATTTTTCCATTTTTTATTATATTAAAATATTTACTGTTTTTGATGCATATAACTCGAAGAAATGCAATACCCTACAACATACAAGCACGAAGAGCGGATTAGACAAATGTCTGATTTGCAACACCACACCGGAAGGACGCCAGTAGATTGTTACCGTGGCGCTAAGGAATATGGTGGACAAACTACCTCTTTTTACGATTATCACTGTACCCCAAAACAGGCTATGCAACTTCATTCCCAATTCATACAAGCTGAAATTTCTGCCCAATTAGTCTACCGAGAATCATTTGAATTAAGGGGCTTTGATTTAATGGTAGAGAGTCCAGGTAATAATTTATAAACCCCAACCTAAACCCGGTGATTACATACCAACACTAGCACCAGAATATTTTCCGGTGATGAAATTAAAACGATCACCGGTCTCGTCGGTATCCTTATTGATAATCAATACCTCCTCGCGGTGCCTGAATCGTGGACTGTAAAGTCACAAGCCATTATGATAAGCTATTTTTTACACTAATCTACAGACATGATCAAACCATCTAAGCTTACCGAGTAATGCTTATTCCAATTCCGGACTCACATAATTATGCGTTGCTCACACATTAGCCTATATCCCCAAAGTTGAGTGCTCTTCGCTCAGACACTGAACTGTTTTTTCAAGTCTGTCTCTTTCTCTCCTTGATAAAGATGGGCAGCTGTGACTGCAAAGCTTTTGGGAAGAAATGCAAAGTGTGCCCTCCTCTATTTTGTCGATGAATTACTTATTGAGAGCGATAGAAAGCATTGGTTATCTGAATATTGGAAGGTCATTGGTGTTTCACGAGCTTAGCGTTTGTAGTGTTAGACAAAAAGGCGCTCCTTTAGCACGATTCACTGAGTTTATTCTATTCTTAGGGAGGAGCTGGTTGCTCTTGTCATGGAGCAAAAAAGTGCGCCCAGAGGCAGGGCAATGGAAAGTGTGACTGCAGAGCTGCAATGAAGAAATGCGGCGATAACTGTGACTGCGATAAGCAGATGTGCACAAACAGGGTGAGTGTCTCGATACAATTTCCATGTCGAATGAGCAAGTAGCTGATGCCTCCCTATGCCATGTGACTTCTAAAGGAGATAAAAAAAGGAAATAATTACTCGATCGTAAGCAGTTATGATTGACTTATTGGCTGAAAAAACGGGCAGTTATTCCTATCTCTTTTATCTTGATAGGCCCTGGCAGTGTAGTTATTTTTTTCCTCGGGGATAATGGAGCAATTTTCAACTGAGTACCGAAAGTAATCAGAGATTGCTTTAGGGTTTTGCTTGATTTTTCTCTGTGATTGGTCCCAAAAACCGGTACCATCCTCTCAACCAATCAGTTGCAAAACTGAGAACAATCGAAATGCGGTCATCCGCGTTTTCCCGCGCGTTAAGCAGTTTTCTTGTTTTTGTTTTGAGTTCTCATTGGCTGATGATAATGTAAACTTTGTTCTGATTGGTTGCTGGCATTACTTTGGTTTTGTTTTTCTTCGACGCTCGATGA